AGCAGGTTGCTTGATTTTGCTAAGCTAGCACACCGCATAAGCCACGGGTTGGTCTGTTTTCAGCATGAGTTTGGCGTTTTTTCGTTTGGGCTAACAAGGTTCTCACGCATTCTGGCTCACAGTTTGGTGGGAAAGACGTCCTTTTCTCTCAAACATTCCTCGAACGAATCCCTATCCTTGCAGTGAAACAGGGGGACCCATGCGTCTGTTCCCTCAGGTCTTTCAGGACCAAGTTGAATTTTTGCGTGAGGACTCAAACCCTGTGGCTCATGTGGCGTACCAAAAACGCTAAATACGATAACATGTCTCTCTTTTTGGTGATCTCCTTGTTGGCACTGCAATCGTCTAGGATAAACAGCGTCGATTTCATGCATCTCCGCATTGTTCATCACCCATGCTCTCTCCGCGTACGTTTTATTGACGCGTATCGTAGGGTAAAGAATCACGATATGAACGAACACATTCCAATAGTACTCTTCCAGCAGATCCAAGACTTGATGGCGCAATTCGGATCTCAAGGTAGTTCGATATTAATAGAGGGCTTGCACGAATCTTCCATTTTGTATATTAAGCTGCGCATCCATGATCATGTACAAATAAAGGTTTAATTTACCGTCGGTTTGAGCCTTCTTGGAGATTTGGATGGTGATCCCCTCGCTACCGTTCTCGATGCGACGCCTGCTGCCGTGCAGTTGATCATCGTATGTGGCTCGTATGTCCAACCAGAGTGCGTACTTGGTCATCAGGTTATCTTCTAGCGTCACGTAGGAGAGGCCAACTGACGATCGCATTGCTTTCCGGTAACTTTTGGATCTCGTCCTACTGATGGCAAGCGTGCATGCCTTGGCTGAACAGCTGGTTGGGCACGCCCTTGACTGTCACCTCGACTTTCGTGATCTCGGGTTCCAATACTTTTTGTTGACCCTTTGAAACGGCTGAAATTCTTCCACCGGCAGGATCAAAACGCCCTTAATCAATCACGCGGGCACATTCAGATTGCTGTTCGACAGCATGTCGCTCTTGCTCGTGCCGATCTTCCGGTGACGCAGCATGCGATTGTACAGGATGGCTAACGTGCCCGAATACTGGCTGCAAATCTGTCAAGCCAATTCCGGATTCGTCACCTTGTCGAACTCCAGCGAAATGTTGTCGATGGTGTAGTGACTCTCTGCGGCGTTCTCCACCACGATCGCGTGGCTGTAATTGTTAAATGTGAGTTCGTACTCCTGCCGGTCGCCCAGCGTGGCTTTGTAGAAGGGCATATGACCTTCCAGCAACTCGAATTCGAGCAGGATTTCGAGTCAGTGGACACTCAGACGGACAAATCCCTTGGTACTTCATGTTTTCCCGTTTGCTTGCAGTTCTCCAGAGGTCCGTGTAGCTGAAGAACACGTCGCTGTCATCGATGCTCAAAATTTCGTTCCCGCTGATTTTGATGGTCGTTTTCTTCACGATGGCGCGACCCAGGTTCCCCATGACTTCTCGCCTATCATCGTCAGATTCCAAACTGATCTAAAAGGACAGTTCCCGGAACGATGACGTCGTCCGCGTCCATGTTGGGAAAGCGCATCAAGATTGTTGGTGATCGTCACCGACTGACCAACGGCTTTGAACCCGAGGGGTTCTCTCAATCTTTGGAAAGGGTTTAGTTTATGCCCGTATTGCGACGACATTGTTTATATTGAATGCGACGACATCGTTTATTTTGAAAGTATGTTTTCATATCTTCAATAGAAACATGGCTGAAGGTGGTTATGATGATATTGAAATGGACGATTGTGGGGACCTCTTTGCTTAATGATGATGATGATTAGGCAGACATGTCGTTAATGAGCGACCTCTTGAGTGACGAACTCTTAAAACAGACCGTCAACGATTATTACGATGCTTTGGGACAACATAAAAATTACGTCGAGCCGCCGTTTCGAGACCCTTCCAAGATTTTTATCGATAGGAAGGGCACGCTGCAATTGAGAGCAGATGCAAAGGTTGATCTGATGAACACTCGCATGAGACAACCGCTCGCTCTGCTGACACTAGCCAGAAAACACAGTGTCCAATTCGTTCGTGAACCTGCAAGATTATGGCGGTGCATGACCCAAACAACTTCCGTCCAAGGTCATCCAAGATCTGGAAAAAGTAAGGACTGGACTTGACAATATCACCGCCAGAGGTAATCTGAGAGACGGACGTGCCCCAACGTGCCAAAGAAACGTAGGACGGCAACGAAAAATTATTGAGCGCACGTACTTGGACGAACCCTTGCCCGGGTTCGAATTTCCCCTCAGGGAACTGCAAGGGCTAGACAAGGCCTTGCAAACCATTCGTGGACAACATGGCCATACTGAAAGAAATTGAAGATCGTTTCGCTTATGTGACAACCAAACTCGAACAAGAGGATGATATTGATGATGACATCAACCGACGTCGGAACGAGGTAAGGATACGTCAGCTGCACGATGAACGATTGACCCGATTGGAAGTGGCATCCGAGACAAGCTTCAATCCCAGATCAGCCACGTGTGCGAAACCATCTACCGAGTGTTGAAGGGCTTCATTGTCTCAACCCTCGTCTTAGTGCTGACGGGCGGTGGAGGTACAACACCGACAACACCACCACCCAAAATAGGCGGCGACGTCAGAGACTGGATTCAAAAACATTTGAAATTGCTCGGTGAAGTCTTGGGGAGACTGGCCGGCAAAGCCGCCGAGGCCCTGTCCGGCATCTTGGGTAGCATCGTGTCCTGGTTGTTGGGCTTGTTGTCAAAAACGGTCACGGGCTCGGTCAGAACCTTTGGGCGTTCGTCGTTGGCATGGCCGCTCTGGCGTACGTTGCCGCTAAAGAACTTTTAACCAAATGAGGCACAACCCGACGGCGATTTCGCCGACCACGAGCGCCGTTTTACGATCGAGGTGTTGCTGATGTTCGACCTCCTTGTGTGGTGATGGGCGTGGTGGTGGTGGTTGAACGCTGGGCTGTGGTCCTGGTGGTGGCGTCACAATTGCTGTTTCACCGGTATGCGTGAGCGGTGGGACTCGACTCACGTTGACATCGGGATCGTTACCCAACGTTTGATCGGCGGTCGCGATGATGATTTCGTTGTTGTAGCCCACCACTTTGCAGATCCTCAGTCGCATGTCGCTCGGAGCCATGTACAGTCCCATGCCGAACATGTAGTCGACTTTCGACTGGGCGTATTCCAGTGTGTCCTGGTAATGCTGGATGGCACTCGGTAAATCCACCAGTCTGGCGATGACGTCCTCGGCGTTCAACACGGACTGTTTCTGTGCGTTGAATGCCGTCTCTCTACCCACGATGTCGGAACGGGTTAGTGACTGCGCACCTAGCATTGCCCATACGTATGTTCGAATCGAATCGTTACACCGTATGGTACCGGCGCGAGAGAACCCTTTCAACGTATCCAGCATGAACATTTTCCAATCATCTTCCATGTAGGAGGACTGCTCCACCTTTTGAATGGTGGAAGCAGTAACTACTGCACCTCTAAAGTTCATACGATCATCTCACCATTCATTACTCGACAGAGCGAGGTGCTGACGTAGAAAACCTTTTTTTTTAAAGTAAATCATCACTGACTTCTTTCACGGATCGCCCTCCATTGGACAAAATGCCTAACCCGTGGTTTGGACCCAATATACGCCAATCCGTTTTAGGATCGATTTCGAATTCGCCGCAAACCCGTTCGTACGTACGCCGATTGTAAAGATTGTCCGATGCGTTCCATGACTTGTCCTGTGGGATCGGGGCGCTGATTTCTTTCAGGATGCGCCTGATTTGGTAGTACACGTGAAAATAAAACATGGACTGACTCAGCGGTCCACGACGCGTGTCATTCAAGGTCAAGCAGCACCCCGTCGTTGCACACCACACGGCGAAATTGAGTTGATTCTGCCAGAACTGCATCGGGTTGTGAAACCAATCTTATATTATCTTTACACTCGCGACTGAATTAAGCCTATACTTTCCAAAGACATTGAAAAATAGACCTCGAAAGTGGGAACCCTCCTTGGCATCCACCACGATTTTCATGTGCGTGAAATCGTTAGCACTTAAATGATTGCTTTTAGAATAAATCACTTCCGGCTTGTACTTGGTTGTAGCCATATTGAAAGTATATGGTAGTGTCTCGTATATGTGTAACAATTAACCAAACAACACTCACTTACTGGGCTGGGGCCCAACACAACCCTCTATTTAAACTCATTATAAACATATACAGCAACGTAAAGAAATCAACACTTAAAAAGTTCAAACTCAATCAACTAAGAGCACCATGCCTCACCCACATCTACAACCTGCTACACTCACAACAGCTAAACGACATACAACACACACCTCCCATTACAAGCTTCATTCACGACGAACCCCCACCCATCACAGACACTACCCTAGATATCATCCTCCACAAGCTACCAAAAGACACCAATAAATCCACTTTAACAAACATCACAAACAACTACATCAACAACAGCTACCCCATCCACACCCATATATACACAGACGCTTCAATCAACCCAAACAAAACCACTGGTATCGGCATACATGTCCAACAAAAAAAAAACTATTACAACCAACCTCCACTATACAAACCAGACAACAATAAATACTGCAGAACTAACAGCTATTCTCACTGCACTGCACCTAATTCCCACCCTTCCCTAAACTAACTTCCTCATCCTCTCCGACTCACTCAACCCAATTAGGCAAATAGAAAACAAGCACTACAAATCTCTACAAGTACCTACACCGAAACGTCGCACTCATTGCAATAAAGAAGTTGATTATCCATAGAACTAAGTTTTCCTTCATGAGTGGTGTGTGTCTAAAATATGAGACACCCGTCTGTGGTCCCAAACTTTTATGTGAGTTTGTAAGTGACAAGTATATACCCACGGTGTGCGTTTATTTCTGTATATGAATGTGTGTGTGTGTGTGCGTGTGAACATATAAAGATCTGTTTGTTGCTATATTACAGACCCCCCCACCAGAGATACAGAGCAAAGGGACGTTGTGTGTTTACTGCAATGAAAGAAAAGCCAATTTCAACTGGACGTACCAAGTACAATCAGTATACCGCATCCAGTGGAAGTTTGAGGACATTTTCATGGCAAATTACACAGAGCGTCGTGCAAACCTGACACAGGTAATATGAACTATAAGACGGATACAGTGAGACAAACAACAACTAGCAAATACATGCATGTGAAAGTGAGAAATGGAGTTAGATATTTTGTCTGTAGCCTGTAAACTGACAAGATCTGTTTTCTTCATTTAAGGAGTCCCTCAGTATTAACCAGAACTACAGTGGCCGTTTTGCCCTCCTAACTCCAGGTGATGTTGGTTTTAGTCTCACCAACGTGAAGAGGGCTGACCTAGGAACCTACAGGTGTATCATCACATTAGACAGCGGAACAGGAATAACACTGCAAGGAGGTTTAGAAGAGAGACGTACTGGTAATGGTTGATGTCGTAGTGAGAGCGGTTGACATTCATGTAAATATAAACATAGTTTATGTCCCGATATTTCATCATGTAGATTGAATGAAGAAATAGTACTTCATGAATCTCTAGCACATCACACACACACACACACACACACACACACACACAGACACAGACACACACACACACACACACACAGACAGACACACACACAGACACATACACATTCATATATATATATATGTGTGTGCGTGTGCATCAGGACATGCAGTTATGATTATTTTCGAGGGCAAAGGGACATATGTATGTTTGTACATGTAGGAATATTTGCAGATATACAGAAAAGATGGAAGTAAGGTTCTGAGTGAGTGAGTGAGTGAGTGAGTGAGTGAGTGAGTGAGTGAGTGAGTGAGTGAGTGAGTGAGTGAGTGAGTGAGTGAGTGAGTGAGTGAGTGAGTGAGTGAGTGAGTGAGTGAGTGATTACCCACTGGGCTATAACGCTTTAACCACTATGCTATCCCAGCGCCCCGAGTGAGACTGAAGCTCGGACGGAGGAACATACACGAGGAGCTAGATGAGAGACAGGCAGTTCCTACAGTGAGGATAACCGTAATAGATATGAACGTATAGCTTCACTCAACAGGATTCATTTGCAGATAGACGGGAAAAAGAGGAGACGTGCAGTCATGGAGTTGCCATCTTTAAGTGGACTCGGACTTGGGAGGAGCCTTTCGAACACGTACAGTGGCAGTTCAATGAAACAACGATTGCCAGTACAACCAAAGAAGGAATCAGTAGGGTAGGTGTCATGGCAGCAATCCTCCTGACTGACCTATTGTCACATGGAATCGGCAAGTTCTTTACATACATTTCAATGTATGAACTGTTTAAAATGAAACTGTTAGCTATGTTGTCACAATTGGGTTTAATTACTTTATCCATAGCGGTTCAATAATTAAAACACTTTGTTATTGATCTGAAGTTTAATTCAATTTACATCACCTCAACCCCTCAACGCAATTACATGTTCAGTCCTCAGTAAAAGTCAATGTATCATTAACTGCAGTTCCAAAAGTCTCTGTACAATAAACCCTGTTGGTGCGAGTATCAGTTTTGCGTTCTTGCATCCACAGTTTGCGTTGGTCATCGTCTTCAATATCCCCTCTGTTTGTTTCTACAGGATTCACTGCACATCACAGCCGAGTACAAGCCTCGCTTCCATCTGCTACAGGCAGGTGGTGTTGGGTTTGGTCATCGTCTTCATGTAATATCTCCTCTGCTTGTTTCTACAGGATTCACTGCACATCACAGCCCAGTACGAGCCTCGCTTCCATCTGGTAGAGGCAGGTGATGTTGGATTTGGTCATCGTCTTCATGTAATATCCCCTCTGCTTGTTTCTACAGGATTCACTGCACATCACAGCCCAGTACGAGCCTCGCTTCCATCTGGTAGAGGCAGGTGAGGTTGGGTTCCGGCTGGAGAAGGTCAGAGCCGCGGACGCCGGAACATACGCTTGTGTCATTACATTTCCAAGCGGAAAATTTAACATTATATGGAATTTGGAAGTGAAAGGTAACTCTTGCATGACGAATGCTGTGTTTCTTATTGCCTGAGGCCTTTAATGACTGACTGACTGAGTATGATTTTACTCCGCTTTTAGCAATATTCCGGCAATATCACGTCGGGGGACTCCAGAAATGGGCTTCACACATTGTACTCACGTTGGAAATCGAACCCGGGTGTTAAGCGCGACGAGCGAACGCTTTAACCATCAGGGTACTCCACCGCCCCTCTAAGGCCCTTAAGTCAACAAGCGCCCAACACAAAAACGATGTAAAATATAGTTTGGGTAAACATTGGACACTTGAACAATGATCAGAAATCACTTGAACAATGATCAGAAATCGCTGAAAGAACCAAAGATTATGCTGATACATTATGATATCATGATATTTTACAGAAGTACAAAGTGGCAACTTGAGCATTGCTGTCATCAACCAGGAGACGCTGTATTGTGGGGAGGAGAGGAAGTCGGACTTCAGCTGGGTAATATAGAAGAAGAACAATATATTTTATGTATCACCATTTTCCACTTACAGAGCATTTTATACTATAAGATATATAACATAATTATGGAAAGTAAAGTCCAGCCCTACGAGATACAAATCTATAACAAATAACAAATAGTGTATTATGAACACTGTCGGGGTAACAAAACATACCAGTATGCGAAATACATGTGGCTTTTTCGGCCTAAATCATATTTCATGTTTTTACGTATCCATGCCACCCAGGAAAATGGGGATAATACATTTAGAGGAAATGATTTAATAATCTAATGGCTGTATTTCATGTGAATGTTACTCAACATTAAGAGACGTTTATTATCATCTGGTGCAACTGTGACACTGTATTATTATATACCCTCTATTTCTCCTGTTCACTTATGTTTCTACCATGCAATAACCGTGCCGTGTATAGTGGACACGACCATGCATGTTTCACGACGTGAGTCAGTAGTCATCTATATATAGTAAAACTAATTTAACTCCAGCAACATCGACTGCACCTCTTGTACATGTAGCTTCTCTGCTCGTCGACTGTATTGGGATTACAGCTAAAGGGAGGTAACCTTCTTTCTCCACTGTATTGGGATTACAGCTAAAGGGAGGTAACTCTCTTTCTCTCGTGCGATACAGTTAAGTCATATACTGTCAATTAAAAATGCATTTGGATTTAACAAGGAAAGGAAACAGGTAGATTTGTGACCTTTACCACACTTTCATAGCGGATGGCGTCTGTTTCATGCCAGATTTAGCTCAGGCAGAACGTATTTCTATCATGTGGAGGTCACTCAGTATGAAGGTCAACCAATTGTATACAGACACTGAGGTGTGATCCACATTGTTTCCCATCTTGGAGTCTTCAGGTTCCAGTTTTGGTAGGACAATTCACGACCCATTCGTGCCATTTGTGACGTCAATACAAAACATCAGAACAGAGCAGTACTCCACTCAGGCCGGGATACTCGGCAAGAGAGGTACAAATATACAGTTGAGAATACACAGGATGGCGGGATGGTTTACATGGAAGATTGTACAGTTTTCATGATGGCATTACTGACTATACACAGTTTTTGTAAAACACTTATTTCGTTTTACAGTTAAACAATTCGTTAAATTTTAACACATTGGGTTTTTTAACATAATAGTTTGGGATATATATATTTTCCTATGACGTTAGAAGGAAGAGAGAATACTATAATGGAATTTATCACCGTTCTCTTCACGTATGTGAATTTTCACATTCTTTCTTCGATTGGAATTTTGTGCCACCTACCGACTTCTATTTGTGAATGATAGCAGGATGTTCTAAACAGGAGTAATTTAAAAGTTTCATGGCCAGTTTCCTTAAACCGTCAACGCCAGGGAATAACCAGTCCCGACTATATGCCGAGACAGATTCCCCTGAGTGTAAACGTTAAACCAGAAGGGATGTGGCTGGATCGCCGACAACCAGTGTCTGTCTACTTTGTCTGGGGTGCTTCTTCTGGTAGCGGTGTGGTGGGGTAGCCTAGTGGTTAAAGCGTTCGATCGTCATGCCGAAGATCCGGGTTCGATTCCCCACATGGGTACAATGTGTGCGGCCCATGTCTGGTGTCCCCCGCCATGATATTGCTGGAATATTGCTAAAAGCGGCGTGAACCATACTCACTCACTCACTCTTCTGGTAGCATCCGACATTGGTGCTTGGCTGACGCTGCACAGTAATATCTCGTTGCATGATGGCGGCCTGTGAACAGTCTCTACCAGTCACTTTACTGACACACGTTGATCTAACAAACGTTACGTTTTCATTTGGTCTACATCAAAAGTCACGGGCCCCCTCGGGGGATGTAAACTGAAGCTAGAGACGGACGGTTTCTTCCCGACCACTAAACAGGCACCAGAATGCCTGCTGTCGCCAGTGTAGTAAAGTACATGACGTGATGTTACTTCTTCAGGTTTTCCAAAATATGTCTGGGGTAGAGAACGTGGATAAGACAGGACACGTCCTACATCTGCCATCCGTTCCTGCGTCGGGGTGGGTGTTCTGTGTCCGTCAGTCTGACTGTACAATGTCGTCGATCTACAATTTCACCAGTGGTGAGTCAGTCGAAGGTAATTATTTACATTGACTTTACACGTTGCTCGTTGTATGGGACATGCCCTGGCTGTCGGACATTTTAAGTTGCGTTGTGATTTTGTTTTGTTTTACCGTTATATCCCATTGTTGCCTTCTCCCATTACATACAGTCTTTGATTTCATCTTTTAGAAAGGTAAATCTCTTTGATTTCAAAGTGTGAACAGATCCAAAAAGCATTATACTTACTCTACTAACAGTAATCGTAATCTAGCCTGTAGTGACTGATGGTGAGAATTCATAGCAATATTAGACTCGTTCCAGTTACCCATCAGGCTAGCTATTCTCGAAACGTTCGTAGCCCTAAGAACTTCTTAAGCCAATTCTCAACACATTGGCTACGATCAAAGTTAAGAATTCTTATAAGGGCCCTGCTTATTATAGCTTGTGACGACAGACAATGCTTGACGCGAACCTTATCTGAAATTATGAATATTTTGCTTTGCTCTAAATCTGCGCTGTGCTAAACCTTTCTGTCTGTCTGCCTATATAGTGTAGTATCCTCTTCTTTTTTTATTTATCTCCGTTTTTCATTTGTCTATGCTACCATGAAACTTGGCGAAATGGCGGTACTGAATTTGTGATGTGATTGCGGCATCGAATAAAGAATATAACACAAAGTCAACGTTCATTTGAGTTCATTTATCATTTATGTTCTGTTTTGAAACTCAAATTAGGTTCAAAATTTGCATGCATTTGAGTGTTGGTGATTGTGATGAACCAGAGGCGGGACAAACATGAAATCTGGTAAGATATTGCTGTTTATGGCAAGCTAGTATGGTAATATGGTAATATATCAACCGCCTTGTTTGAGATGTGTTTTGAAATGAAAACAATCCTTGCAACGAAAAAGTTAATTAAAACCTGCATATTGTGAAACTTTACCAAGGTTGTGGTGGTTGTTGGAGCGGATATCTGTATCGTGTTGGTGATACATGTCATGTTTCTATCTCACTCTGTCTCAAATACTCAGCACCCTTATCTTTGTATAACTTGGTGGCCATTTTCCAAATAGAATATCGGTCTTAAACCTAGGTGTTGTTTTCCCTTTACATAATGTGCCCGAAGAGGGAGGAAGCAAGATGAATCCTGCAGCTTATGTAGTTCCGATTGTCGTTATCCTCATCGTTATCATCATCGTAGTCCTAGTACTGTATAAGCGAAGAGGACAAAGGCAACGCCCCAGGTGAGTGAGTGAGTTAAAAGTTAAAGTCACTTTGGCAATATTTCAGCCATATCGTGACTAAATGAAGTTATAAATTAAAATTATTAAAAGGAAATTATAAAAATCTGTCAACGAAGGACAGTAAAACAACTAGATTCTCAGAGATAGAAATCGTAAACTAGTACTTGAATTTAAAACATTTTAACTATACAAGACGATACAATATAGAAAACCGGCTATAGATCGCCAACAACTGAAGGTAGATCACCATACTAGGGACCATTGGAACTTACAGTACATTTGCTTCCTGCATGGACCCTAGCTGGATTTACATCATCACTTCAGCTGTTAACAATTTACACACATCTAGCCATCCGTTAAAAATACACATATTCTACGATTAAGAAGGTGGGGAGTTTAAAATGACTTTGAATGATTTGGGCGGTACGTACCCTCTCAGGAGGACGATCATTTTACGCCCCAGGTGAGTATTACATATAGCGGTGATGGTTGGCCTGTCTTACCTGTTGTATACGAGTGGCGGTCGGGTAGCCTAGTGGTTAAGGCGTTCGCTCGTCACGCCGAAGAACCGGGTTCGATTCCCCAATTGGGTACACTGTGTGAAGACCATATAATATTAATTCAATAATACTTCATTTATATAGCGCCTTGTATCCATCTGACTAGCTGCTCACTGGACGCTGTATTCATAAACTGATTATTATTACCCCGGATAACGTAAGCTGCCGCTAGACGGTTAATAGTCACATGACTTATCTCACCGGGTACCCATTTTCTGCTGGGTGAACAAAGGCGATATCTGGTGTCCCCCGATGGAATGTTGATAAAGGCGGCGTAAAACCACATTCACTCGTTCTCTACTATGTATATATGTGTATGTATATGTGTGTATGTCCTTAACACAGGCTGTGTGATTGCCCTGTGGTGAGGACCATTTATACTATCAAACTAGCAGTGTTTAAACCTGTTATTGCTTGTGTGTTGCAGGGACTCTACACCGGATGAAGGAGAGGGCAAGATCATGCTGTAGAACATTATAAACCAGACACATGCCTCATGTGCCAAAATTCCACGCGCGTCTTGCTACCTTTTATGAAGGAGTTAATACGGATGAAAACCTGACGGTGAATCAACGCGCAAGTTACAGTTTGCACCTCTGGGAAAATATATGCAATTACCTGCACAAATGTCCCACTCTACTGTTACTGGCCCGGTGTAGTAGATGCACACTGTAGTTACAGTGTTAATGTGCAATAGACATGTAATCATGTCGTCATGTGACCAGGAAAATAATATTTATTGCTACTGTCCAAAAAACCCAAACCCCCTTTGTTCCATTTTTAGAACAGCAACGCTTTTCCTTTCAACCCGAATATTTTTTCTCCACTTATGACTCTATAATTATATTCTTTATTGAGACAGACAGAAGCCTATATTACAGGTCGAAATACATCTCATTTTGCCTTCTTGCGAGACCTTAGCTGTTGCTCTGCTTGGGCTGTTTAATCTAATGCAAAACCCATGTCACAACCGTGTTTACAAATCCCCCACCAATACCAGCTGGGTCTCCTTGATACTGTGAAGACCATCTCTACAGTATATATTCCAAGATAGCCATGTCAGATGCATGGTAAGTAGATCTAGTATGTTTTGTTTTGATGCATATCTAACATGATGGAAACACAGTACGTATATCTATCAACTGATCTCAGGACTCATACTAGTCGGACTCGTACAATCAACTGAGCCTTTAGTAGAGATGACCTATGGATGTGGACACGAAGGATTTTTATTTAACTTGTTCGTAATCGGCTTGTATATGTTATATAACAAATAAAAAGGCGCCCTTAAAGGCGGGTGCCTTTGGCTGATATAAGTCATCAATATTTGACAATGGTTCATAAACACTTATCTTGCCTCACACATAACTGTCGTTTTCTGATTGGCTAAGCGCTCTTCTGTTATTTTCAATGTACCCCGCTTACAAGCGAGCAACAATTTCTATGTACCCTGCTTGGAGCGCCAAACTCATTTGGTACCTCGTAGTAGTAATTCTTTATCTCGAATAACATTGAATCACGTATGATGCATGGAAATTACCGATGTTTTGCGAAGGCAAATCGATGCAAGGGAGATAACTCTACATTTTGTTTTTCTTGTCGTCGGGTACTCCATCAGATACCCGTGCTTCAAATAGTTCAAAATTACCATTGAGGTATCCGGTAAGATAAATACGTTGTACACTAGCCCCCCTCGATACCAGTGAACAACTTATAATGTACAAATGTACATGGTGTAGTCGGAGTCATACCGGGGACTCTGCTCTTTGTTAAAGATGTCTTGTGGATGGTGGAAAACGTCTTTGTTTTGTAGGTTTTATTTATCTTAGTGTATGTATGAATGTGTTTTGCACTCCTTTTTCAAATAAACTGCGTAAATACTTACAATGCGTCTTATTATCTATCTGTATCGTGTGGCTGGCAAGTTTAGTATGTTCCGCTATGATATTGCTGTGGTTGGTATCTAACTCACTAAACATTAACATGCTGACATGCTTTGCCTCACTAACACACAAGGAAACAAACAACAGCCGTTAGGAGGATAAACCTTCAATAGTCGAGCTGTTGGTGAGATACCTCGTGTTGTAGTAATAGTAGCAATTACGCACCAAGATTGGAATATACCTATCCAACCGGTTACTGTTGACAGACATCATTTGACAATGTACGGCTCGTTCGATCACCTGTTTTAGGCCAGTTGAATTTTTTTTACGTCGTACTTAGGAATATTTTACTCATATGACGACGTGCATGCGTGTGTATGTGTGGCTGCGTGTACTAGCCCACACAGCAAAAATAACTTAGTTTCCGTTCTTGCGGAAACCTAATGGATACTGGGTAATGTAGGTTTCCGCTAGGTTTCAGTATGGGGAAACAGACAATGCGAGTTTCCGCATAGTTTACAAAACTGAAACTAACGAATCCAGGTTTCAGTCAGGTTTCTACAACTGAAACTATCATTAGACCTAAGCTGGTTTTATATGTTAGCTCACTGAGATACCATACCGCAGATAAGCATGAATATCCCACTCAGACACATTATACTTACTCCGAGCCGACCAGCCCTTGTTGTACCCATTGATGCAGAGCGCCAGGAAGGGATCAACAAGTACTAAACATTTTTACACAATATCAAAGACACGCTTTACTTGTTTTCACTAATGCATATCAGCAGAAAATGTTTTCGGCATGGACGAATAGAGGACAACTTAACTCTTCTGAAAAAGATGCATTTAACCTAAATATGAATGCATTTGAGAATTATTTTTCGTGATTTGCATAAAGCTGTGTTGTTCAGCTTTCTGGTAAACTAATGCCTTTTAACATATCTTTGATAGCTTTTCAGTAATTCATAAAGGTAGGAGGGTAACGTTTCATCCGCGTTTAGTGTATATCGAAAACACACCACGTCAACATTGCCACAACATCTTTAATGTATTCCTTAGTTACACTCGGGTTCGATTCCCAACATGAGTACATTTGGTGAAGCCCATTTCAGGTGTCCCCCGCCGTGATATTGCTGGAATATTGCTAAAAGCGGCGTAAAACTAAACTCACTCACTCAACTCAGTGACACCTGTCACCTTTCAATTTCAGTTCAGTTGTTTTTTCAGTCCCGCTGAAGTGAAGTTCTTGTTTTTCATTGGTTTATGAAAATGTGTGTGTGCGTGAGTGCGTCTGTGTGTGTCTGTGTGTGTCTATCTGTGTGCGTCTCTCTCTCTCTCTCTGTTTGTGTGTGTGTGTTCTTGAATCAGTGGAATAACACTGTGGCGTCAGTACAGCTCACAATGTTTTCATGCAGAATGAATCAGGTATCTGGAAGAATATAAATTTACCCTTTCTTAAATATGTCAATCAACTTTTCAAGGTGTTCAAAACAAACGAGGGGAAAAGTCGTGAACTTCAGTCATATCTGACAGGTGCACATAATGTTCAATACACCTGTATAATAGCTTCAAATGCTGCACACGGTTTTTACTGGGCCGAAACGTCACTTCTTCATGGTGCTATCCCAGTAACATAAGCAACAAAATTATTCATTATAATTTCTGAATAAATTCATGGCAATAATTAGATCTTTTTGATATCCCCTAGTAGCATCTCAGACTCATAACAAACGTCACCCGCAACAACAACTTACAACAGTAACACGGGCAATGTGGTGACAGATTTACCTCTGACACACGTGGCCACCCCAGCAACGATCAACGGTGCTCGACCACATTGACACGTGTAAAAAAAGAGATAATTTCCTATCAGCATACAAAAATCAGTTAACAAACAACTGCAAATATGCTGGCGATATTGACGTTTAACTAACTTACCTTCCTAAGTTGTAATCTTGTCGCAACAGTTCTTGATCTTTACCGAAGTAATAAAGCTCTTCAGGGCCTTACAACGTGATCAGTTATGACACCACGCACTTTTGTCCGCATTCAGTCAACCATTCCCATTAGCTTACTGAGGCCTGCTCCAAGCGAACATGAGACCTGATCTCCAATGACAACAATGTAGTAATATTGTGCGTACTCCACAAACAAGTTGGGGACAATCGGAATAACGTATGACAGAGTGAGTGAGTGGTGAGTGAGTGAGAGGGTTTGGATGGGTGGGTTGGTGAGTGAGTGATTGATTGAGTGAGTGAGTGAGAGAGAGAGAGGGTTTGGGTGGGTGGGTGTGTGAGTGAGTGAGTGAGTTTGGTGTAACTGTATGACAGTAGATGCACTGACCGCCAAGTATCTTGAAGGACCCTATAACATAGCTTTTGAGTTAAAGTAAGTGTGCGATAAAGCATGCAACTTTATGGATAAGAACTTCTTGTTTATTGCAAAGAGCAACGTTTTGGTGTAGGTTCTCACACAGTTAAAAACAAAGTTAAAAACTTTATCCATAAAGCCGCACGCTATATCATTGGCTCACCAACTTCTAGAATGCCGATCGAACAATTAAAGTAATTGTGATCAGATTTTGCATAAATAATTTGAGCGAGCGAGTGAGTATGGTTTAACACGCTTTTAGCAATATCCCAGAAATATCACGGCGGGGGGCACCAGAAATGGGCTTCACACATTGTACCCAGGTGGGAAATAGAACCTGGGTCTTCGGCTTGACGAGCGAACGCTTTAACCATTAGGCTACCTCACCGTCCCTGTATTTAATGATATTTGTTAACAGCAGATGGAGTCATGCAAATTCTTCCACTTATTGATTGATCCACATGTAATAAAAAGTGACACGGTCAAGGAAAAACATGCTAAATACTAGTATGCGGACCTCCCCTTTGAAATGTTTCGTCTGCATCCTTATTACTCTGTCTTCAGACTCCCCGTTGTTCTCGGTGACCTTGGTTTGGTACCTCCTGATCTCTTGACGCAGATCAAAAGAGTGCCCGGGTTCTCCACCGAGAACATATCCCTTCTGACAATCTGGGCAATGCAGAAGGCTTGGTGGGTTCGACTAAGCAGTGCTTCCTGGCTATCTGGGCTGCGTGTAGAAGGGGCAAGGGCCCTGAGCTAATGATGAGGCTTACCAGCCTGACTGTGCCAGGATCACCAGAACCCTCTCTGCTACATTTTTATCTTAAGCTGTAAAACATAATAATTCCAATGGTAAATTTACAGAGAGCATAAGGCAACAGGGAAGGGATGTTGGAGGTGCAAGGATCAATTTCTTGTCAAAAGGTTATTTTGGAGGGGGCTAAAACATATAACCGCAACCTCTCCATGTGCTGGATTGATTACAAAAAGGCATATGACATTCTGCATACTGAAGTATCTTCATTGTATTGACCTCCCTGAGAAACTACTTAATTTACTCAAGTCTGAACAAGTCCTGAACTATTGACGTTTCCTTCATCTTGATTACTTCTCTTAGTTGGTGAAGATAAGGAACGAAGTACATTTTCAGGTCCATATATTAGTGTTTCCTTCCTTCAGTATCTATACCACGTTCTTTATGATGTGTTTATCTCCAATGTAGGAACCTGTCAGTCTAATTAAACATCATTACATAATAATCGCCCCTTGATAAAATGAACTGTTCACGTTAGCAGAGTGACTTAGTCAGTGTGTTAGGTTTAACGCAGATTTGAACAGATTTTTATTTCATATACATTAGAACTCGAATGTGTACAAGTGACTTTACCAACACCCTTGTCTTTATCTTGAACTTAAATCCTGAACTACTGACGTATCCTTCTTGATTGCTTCCGTTAGTTGGTAAAGATAAGGAACGAAGTACATTTTCAGGTTCATATATTTTTGTTTCATTCCTTCAGTGTCTATATCAGGTTCTTCAAATGTGTTTATCTACAATGTAGTAATCTGTCAGTCTAATTATGCTTTACATAATCCTTGCCCCCTTGGTAAAGTGAACTGTTGACGTTGGCAGAGTGAGTGAGTTAGTGAGTGAGTTAGGTTTAGCACCGCTTTCAACAGATTTACATTTCATGTAAATTAGATATAAAACTGCAAGCAGAAAGTTAGTTAGACGCGTGAGACGTTACGACTTTCATGAAATTGACGAGATTGGGTTTGGTACTGATAAAAGCAGAAACATCAGTAGGGTAAACTGGCATTCGAACCCGCGTTCAAATGTTCCCAGGACCTCTAAGGGACGCAACTCTGCCATTGCTTAAAACATGTTTTAAGGAATTGAGGAAGTAACCTACTTAGCATTTATCGCACAGCGTTTGCCAACAGCTGCACATGTGCAGTGCACAATTAGATCAATGTTCAAGGACGATTGGGAAAATTCGCTTTAACCTTGTCGGTGAATACAGTGGTACATGTATATACATAGATATACCATTGAAAAGGAAGAGGTTTACAATATATGATCTGTCCGTGAAGCTAGGTAAGTATTATTTCTATGTACGCAAACGGGTTGAAGACAAATAAAGAAACATCCTTGTTCTATTTGTATACGTCACTGACTCAGATAAAGACTGCACAATGGCGGCCTCGCCTACTAGGCGGACGGTAGACTAACGTTTGTGTCTGAATATTTCTAATTTGTGTAGAAGCAAATAATTCTTTTCAAACTGATAAGGAGCCCATGTGGGATCACAGACAATCTATAGTTGCTTCATTTAGTGCTTTAACATTGCAGTAAGGACTAGGCAGAGGGGAAAACAATGTTCAGGCACTGTGAAACAGACTAAGCGAAACGCTAAATGTTTGCTTTGAAAACAAATCCCAAAACCCCTAAGGTTAGATTTCTTTCTTTGTATTTCCATCGATATTGTTGCAAAGTATACGTCACCTGAATAACGCCTACCCGACACCTGGTGAAGGAAAAGGTTATATAAGCAGTTTCGAAAGCTGTCGTTATCAACACCGATATGTGCACTGATAGTTTGTGTCTGCTCGCTATCGTCTGGAAATCGTTCACTCAATACATAAAACTGAACGACTACATTTATTAAATATCATCTTCATTTATACAATTTTGATAATGCACATTTCGATTATTTGGGCCCATTTGATGTGATGGGAATAACAGAACATCAAGTATAATAGAATAATAACTAGAAAGAAGTATACTAGGCACATAAAGAAACTGTGCATACAAAAATTTAAAATCTAAATTTATCAAACCTGTGTAGACACATAAGGATTTAAACTCAGAGATTAGTGACATGTATCCAACATGCATGCACGTGCCACGTTCCGTGACGTCAGTGGATTCGTCCTTGAGACGTGCAATACGTTGTTGCACGTGAATTCCGGGAAAGAGAAACAGAGCAAATGAATGCCACACAATACTGTCACTTTGTAAGCTCCATCCCTGCCCTTGCGATCGTTCAAAAAAGTAAACGGCTATTGAAACGCATAGCATGCCAAGGCTCACGTCTGCACAACGTCATGAGGCCATTGGGATGGTCCGTGGGGGAATGTCTCAACGACAAGACGCTGCACATTTCCACTGCCACCGGAACACCATTTCTGCACTGGTGAGATGCTACCAGAAAACAAATGACGTCATCGATCGGCCACGTTCTGTACGTCCACGTGTAACAACGCCAAGACAGGACAGATGGATAAGGGTGACCCATTTTCGCCACAGGTTTCAGACTGCAGTGATGACTGCCCGAACCATCCCAGGACTTCACCGTATCCACCCCAACACAGTTCGACAACGTTTACGGTGTGGGCTACAGGGATCAGATTCTTCGACCTGTGGCAATTCCTTTTCTGCAACGTCATGGCCCTGGGTTAACATTCCAACAGGACAATGCACGCCCTCATACGGCAAGGGTTGCTATGGATTTTTTGCAACACCACAACGTTGACTTACTGCCTTGGCCTGCAATTTCACAGAATCTCTCCCCGATAGAGCATGCTTGGGACGAGATGGATCGACGTCTACGCCGTCTTCCTCATCCGCCAGATAACGTCCTTGGCCTTGCAACAGAACTTGAGAGAATCTGGCGTGACATCCCACAAGCCTTCCTTGCACGTTTGATAGGCTCTATGCGTCGTCGATGCACTGCTGTTCTCAATGCCAATAGTGGACATACCCGTTATTGAGCTTGTGACATGGTCGTTTGACCCCTGTCCCGCTTGTGGACTCGTGTGGTCATTGTGATTGACTTTTCAATTGTAATTCTCCCGACTTGCTATGGTCTCATGATCCCTCCATTAAAGTATATATGTACCTTTGACATTGTTATCGCACTTATCAACTGGGATAATATTTTGACAATGCACAGTTTCTTTATGTGGTTAGTATATTTTGATAAGTAATACCGATGTGCAGTCGGGATGGAGTTTGGGTTTTGGATGGGGGTGGTTCAGTCCTCAAAGAGTACACCGATGTCATGGACTCAAAATGTCTATCTAGCTATTCTCGAAACCCTACGAACTTATTAAGCCCATTCTTAACACATTGGCTTCGATCAATGTTAAGAATTAGGGCCACGAACGTTTAAAGAATAAGGGCCCAGGTCCTCCAACGAAACCTGGACAAATGGGATTTGTTTTATTGAAAATGCAAAACATATCATCTACAATAAATCCCAAAGAAGAAAATGAAAACTGAATATTTCTCAAACTGAACATTCGAGTAACCTAACCGACATACTCCCAGTGGAATTTTATTATATATATACTGAAAAAATCATGATTTTCTAAACAATCACATAATGCCATAAAGGATTCGTTTGTCGTATGTTCGCACATAACAAGCGTCGAGAAGGGGAAAAGTCTTCTTAAAGGTTACAGAAAGGGACGAGTGGTGACGAATGACATTCTGTAGATCTGCTGATCTTATCAATACTTCAAAGAGTCCATATGAAAAAGTCATATATATTCCAGACATCAAAACGTTATCCAACGTAATTGGTGAAGTAGACAAATTAAGCCAAATTCAGTTCTTTGACGTGTCAAATGCACTTTTTCATCCATTTCATTTAAGATGGCCTCTTAGCTTTAAGTACAATTTGAATGTCCTAACACACGAACTAGAAGTCCAATCAAATAACGTTAACAAGGAACGAGAGGAACCTGCGCTTTGTCGGTGACTAGAGAGATGGGGAATGTGACGTCACTTCCGGTGTGAGGCTATAGTATGGAATGGGTCCAGGCTGCATATCATTGGTTGAACAGAAACCATATCTTGTAACCTTGATGTTCATAGGTGGGCTTAATTGTGTCACTTTACAATTCCTTGGCAGGAACATGAGAAGACGACGCGTTGTGGCCACTGTCTCTCTGCTGTCTTTGTTGGCCTCATTCATCTCCTGGGCCTCATTAACAGATAATGTAAGTATAATAGTAAAGCAGATGATTGTAAACAGTCTATAATATGTCTGATATGAGAATTTCGATTGCACGTCTATGACATATGTTGAGGACTGTCACTAGTTCTTATATAACGTCAAGTTCTGGGTTTGAATTTGTCTGCAGCAACCCAAGCTTGTCGTAAGAGGAGACTAACGGTATCGGATCGATGTATGTCATTGGATTCCAATAAATGATCATGTTGTCAATCACTGAACTAGACATTTTCAGATATTTCTGTTGGCAGCGTTAAATAGAGAAATATAAACGTATGGTTTGAAGGTCAGAACTGACCCAAACCAAACCTGTATTTATAAGAGGCGACCAAAACAAGTGACAGTACCTGAACAGGAAAATTATGCATTTCAGATTTTATCTCCAAATGTCTATAAGAATTATGGTACGGGATATGCGGTTTTCATACTACCTTTTTGCTGTTAGTTGTTACGTAATGGTTGTTTTTCAACAACACCCCGAAATTTGTATACTTGCTTCAAAAATGTATCACAATAATGAAACGAAAATCCTCAATCTGTATCCATTGCTAGACCCTCGGTGATCTAACAGTGTAAATTGGTCGAGTAGGGGCGGTAACCGCATATGAAGCAAACACAACAGTGAAAGATATAAGAACTATTGAAACGAGTATTTGTTATCTCCTGAATGTTTATTTGGTTACCATTCTGAATAACTCTGTTTCCAATAATGCAGCGGGGCGGGATTCGTGGGTAGTTGACTGATGCATTTGGAAATGTTGCAATTATTCATTTTGGCAAATGTATTTTACATGTTACTGTTACGTTATTAGCTGTCGAGTTGTTGTTTCAACAAAAACCCATAATTGATAAATTGTGACAGAAAGGAAGACACTGAAACATAACCCTTCCAGTATCGTCACAACTTAACTAAAAATTCATAAAATAAACACGAAACAAACAAACAAGCCGAAACATCGCCCAGAATACAACACTGGCTTACATACATGAACACTGGCCAACTTGGTGACACATTTACACATTTGATCCGGAAAAAACCTGCATGTTTTGGCATCCATACCCTAGAGGCAAACTAAATCACACTGACTCCTAGAAACCCAGTCAATTTTCACTATTATATTTCAGCATTAATGGGTACAACAAGACCGGTGAGCTCGGAGTCAGTATAATGTGTCTGAGTATTTGTACTTAACTGGGGCATGGTATCTCAGTGAGCTAGCACTATAAAATCAGCTGAAGTCTGGGCTTGTATAAGCAAACACACATGCATACGCATGCACGTCGTCTTATGAGGGATATATTCTCAAGTACGACGTTAAGCCCCATGTCACCTCAAATCACAAGCACTCGCCCGCTAAATAACATGCTAACCTTCAAAGCCTTAGGTATATTTCTGATCACAACTTGCAGGTTATATGACATAAACTTGAAAGGAAAATGATGGGTAGTAATTTCACTCCGCGGCAAGAAACTCAGTCACAGCTTTGGTTACGAAATCAAAGCGAGAATATTTTGTCAATGCTATCGACAGGGCTAAGGACCAAAAGGAGGTGTACCAGATCACAAATAGACTCTTGTTCAAATATAAATCACAGGTTCTTACCAGCACTAAGTCAAATGATGCTTAAGCAAAGGACTTCTCTCAGTTCTTCCAAGACAAGATACAACTGATTCGTTAGAGTCTCGAAGCAACTCGACCTTCAAGTACAACACTCAGTGTTTTTCAAGCCCCACTCCAACCTCTGTCTAATTTTGTACCTTCAACAGAACAGGAAATTAAACAGATCATTCTGAAATCACCAGCCAAATCTTGCAGTTTGGATCCATTACCCCACGTGGTTGCTCAAGGAATGTCTTGATGAAACTGTGCCAATCATCACACACATTGTGAATCAGTCTCTTGAGCAGTCTACTGTTCCTAGTAACATGAAACAAGCCTTAGTAACGCCTTTGATAAAGAAGTCTAACCTAGATGCAGAATTTCTACCCAACTACAGGCCAGTTTCCAATTTGGCATCTGTATCCAATGTATTGGAGCGAGTTGTAACAAAAAAGGCTAAACCAACATGTTATGGCCACTGGCAACGCTGAAGTGATGCAGTCAGCGTATCGATGCCGGCACAATACTGAAACTGCGCTTGTTAGACATTTTGGAAGCTGTAGATACCAGTGGAGCTGCCATTCTTGTATTACTAGACCTAACGGCTGCATTTGACACCATCGACCAGACCATCTTGCTGCAGACCCTAAACCAGAGATTTGGTGTTGACGGCTCCGCTTATGACTGGCTGCAATCATATCTATCAGGGCGCACCTAGGCTGTGAAGATGAAGAATAGCTTGTCTATGAATGTAGAACTTCGCTATGGTGTACCTCAGGGATCCGTTTTAGGGCCGATATTATTCACCATATATACTTCATCTTTGGGAGATATAGCCCGCCGTCATGGTCTGTCCAAACATCTCTACGAAGATGACACGCAACTATATCTAGCATTCAAACCCACCGACCTGATATCTATCAGCTCGGCTTTCAGTCGGATGACACTCTGTGCAGAAGACATTAAACAGTGGATGGCTTGCCACTTCTTAAAGCTGAACAGCGAGAAAACGGAACTGATGATCTTTGGTTCCAAATCTGCCCGACAGAAGTTGAGTCTTCCATCATTTCACAATGTCATAAATCCAGCACAGGAGGCAAGGAATCTTGGATTTGTCTTTGAGTCAACTCTCTCAGCTGAATCACACATCAACTAAATATGCTGCATTTCCGATTTCGTTCTATGTTTACTTGGGTTGGAAACATGTAAACTTACTAAGGTGGGGAAACACATGTAAATTTTCAAATTTGCAAATGTTTATGTGTCCGAGATGATTTTATATTTGTTTTGTAAATATTTGAGAAATATGTTTTAGGCCATTAAGTGCCTGTACAAGCTATAACACTTACACAGTATGCATAAAGTAACAATAGATTTACTCCAGCACTTATATAACTCTTAACTTCACCATAGCCACTGTCACTCTAATGATAAGCGCATTGCATTGTCTGCCTTGTCCCATATCCTTATTATGTAAGTCTCCTTGCCTACAGTTCAATCTTATTTCATTAAGCAGTTGTCAGATACTACTCTTACAAGTCAGAGGTCCTACACATGTAATGCTGAGCCAATAGTTTGGCTTTTTGTGGACTGTGGCTGTGGACCTCACTTCTATTTATGTATATATAAGGTCAGTTTGTGTTTGGCTTTCATATTTACGTTTTTATATATATGTCTGTATAGTTGTATATGAATTAAATGCATTAAGTTAATGCATTGATAAGATATATTTCTCTGTTGAACCACCAAATTAACTTGCCATTGAGTGTGTGTTATTGACTAGTAGCTCATAATTAGTATATAAGTATATTTAAATGTTCAGATATTCTACCAGCTTTGAAGGTAATATAATTTCTCTTTTAATCCATGAACTTATGTCCTATACTTTTATTGCCATTTTTCCTGGTTGCTCATCATTGTGTAACATTTGTAGAATATCCCGATTGGACACTGCCAACTTAATAAGCTGCCAGCTCATTGCCACACAGTGGTAAGTCAGGTGCACATATTGTATATATTGACTATATATCTTGACAATTTGTGGAGACAGTAATGTGTCAGCTTCCTAAGCATACATTGTAATCTGTTCGAGTTAATCTTATCAGTTTAACTAAATCTACTGTTCCCTTTTGTATATCATTCATGTATAATTCATAGATGTTATGTGATATGGCTGGTGTAATTAATTTATCAGATATTTTAATAGTACTTTTATATAATATTTACAGAGTTGGAAACTGATTAGTAAACTTTGTTTACACAATAAAGAGATTGCTGTTGACTCACAACCCAGTAGCTGTTTTGCGTTATTCTTCCAACTGGAACCTCGTCCGCTACTACATTTACACACCTTAGATATGTATGTATAATACCGGATAGCAGGGGTATGTAAATGAACGGTTCATATATATTCATGTTACCTGTGCTCAAGCAGGATGATCATATGTTTCCATCATGTGAATTACTTCGTTCATGTAATTTCATTTTCACACATTTTAGTACGTTTGAAATCAACGTTCACGTGACCTCATTATTCTTATCAGAAGAGCCTGACAAAGAAAGCAGTATTACGCAAGCTAACACGCCTTATTCAGCTGCACTCGCTCATACTACCAGTATCAGTTACGCCTTGTCTGGGGTGTTGGCAAATCTTGTGTGGTGCTTGTTTCGAGGGATTAAAAGGTTCAGTTGTGAACGAAGGGCGATCAGGTTCCGCTTTGTCCTCGCAAGTGTCCTTAGCTGTCCCAATAGAATAGCACTTTATCTCTATTAGAACACAGCCAAATATGCCACACATACCAACACTTAATTTCATAAGCCTATTCTGCTCACTTCTGAAAAAATATTTTTTGCAAGTACATAATTGGAATATTATTGCACTGCAATTATTCTTCTCAATAGTCTCACAGTGCTTGAATCATGTCAATTGCCCTTCCGCCCAGCCTTTGCTGTAATAACGCCATACATCAACTTTAAAGTTGTTGGTTTTTTTTGTAATATTTTTATTCATTTCAGATAGGTATACAGAGACGGGGAGTACACAACTACATGTTGGGACTGGTTACATATTGGTAACAGAAAGTTACAAATTTTCAAAGTGAGAGAGTATAGTTACAGGTATACAAAGTCAGGGAAAGCACAACTCCAGCAGCAAACCACATGGGTTACAGGCATGTTCTAGCTAGTTATACATCGACAATAAAATTACTTATTTCGAAGTATGAAAACATCGGTACATAAAGTCAGGGAGTGAACCACTCAAACAACAGAATCCATTGGTTACAGGCATGTTCTAACTAGTTATATATCAGCAACAAAGTTACTTATTTCGAAGTATGAAAACATAGGTACACAAAGTCAGGGAGTGCATACCTCCTGCAACAGACTCTCTGGGTTACAGGCATGTAAGAGCTGGTTATACATCAGCAACAAATAGTTCAAATTTTCAAAGTGTGATAATATAGGTATACAAAATCAGGGAGTACACTACTCCAGTAGCAAACTCAATGGATAAGGCACTTGGAGCTGGTTATACCTTGGCAACAACAAATTACAAGTTTTCAGAGTGTGAAAGTATAGGTACATAAGTCGGGGAGTACATGACTGCAGCGACAAGCCCTTGGGTTACCTGCTTGTTGAGTAATTAATATTCTTGTCATTGTTCTTCTTCTTATTATTCTTCTTATTATTATAGGATATTTATATGATGTTAAAACCTGGTTATCGCTGACAGAAGCGTTATTAATTTCAAAGTGTAAAAGGATGAGTATAAAAAGACAGCGTGCAAACCTCTAACAGTCAACTCATGGGTCGTAGGCATGTTGGAGCTGGTTATTTATTGGCCCAGAGACTTGCAGATTTTCAAAGTTCGAAACAAAGCTATGAGGCCATTGTTTGTGAAATTTGTTAAGCCTGTTATTTTTCGACAAATACAATATTCTGTATTATTTTCAGAAATCCTGTCATTTGCAGCCGTCTGTTGTTTATACTTGAGATATATATGAATCGTTTCCCAGCGAGAATAATGTTGTTAATAAAATCATAGCCAGTGTTAAATCCCAATAGGATTTTGAATTCTGAGAGTTCAATATCAATGCTAAAGGTGTTGTTAATAAAAATCCTTAGTTCACTCCAGAACATCTGTACATGTTCACACGATACGAAAACATGGATAATATCGTCTGGTTCTGATTTGCAAAATGTACAAATATTTTTGTCAATCAATTTCATCTTCAACAATTCTTTTTTAGTATATATAATCTTGTGGATGAATCTAAATTGAAAATCCAATAATTTAACATCCCGAGTACACTTTCTATAGTTTGTAAAAACAATACGCCAAGGCAATGCAATCTGAGTCATACTTTCCCACTTGTTACACACCTCAGGTAGCTCACATGTTTTAATCAATTTGTCATAGAACCTTCTACAACCTTTTGAAGGTGTAATAAGTTCATACACTATGTCATTAATACCCAGATTTTGAGTCTCATTAATAGAATTATTGACAGTATGTCTCCATGAGACAGGGATGTTTTTCAAAAGTTTATTGTAGTCTAGAAATGTTCCTCTAACTGGATATCTGTTCTTGAACTCATTAAAAGAGAGAAGACCGACGGCTTTACAGAGGTCTTTAACTTTAGTGATTCCATACTCAAACCAACTTTTAAGAAAAAAGGATGAATCCACAAACTGGTGATTAAACCAAAGGGGCTCAGAAAGGATTTTAGACAAGTCATTCTCATCAGTTATGAATAAGCTTCTGTATCTCTTCCATGATAGAAGAACATCTTTCCAATAAGGGTTGTCCACAGTGCAGAATTGATCAATGTTTGAGCCAATCTGAGCAAGTTGACGAATAGGAACATTGCAAGGGTTATTAGCGCCATTGTTGAAATACCTCTTAATAGTGGCTAGTTTCAATGCAGCAATAAAGGATTTTAAATCAATCATCCTAATTCCTCCTTCCCCGTAATCCTTTTTCATAGTCATCCTCTTAATCTTATCAGGTTTACCACTCCAGATAAAAGTGAAAAACATTTTCTCAATATCATCCACGAAACATTTAGGAGGATTAGAGAGAGATGTGAAAATGTGTACTAAAGTAGATACAGCCAATGTTTTAATTACAGTTATCTTCCCAATAATAGTCAACTTCCTTTTTCGCCAATTCCCAAGAATGTTTGATATAACTTTTAGCCTTTTCCTGGTGTTGATAACCCACAAGTCATTCAAATCAGCATTTAAAACAATACCCAAAACCTCAAAGTTCCCTAAGTGCCAGTCCAGCCCATATTCACTACATATTATATCTTTACTGTTAGCCATAGCTCCAATCCACAGGGCTTTTGTCTTGTCTATATTTATTTTTAATCCTGACATGCGGTAGAAGAGAGAAAGCGTATCCATAGCAGCCTTTAGGCTGACATCGGAGCCCTCCAGGAAGAGCTGGGTGTCATCAGCATATTGACCTAGTTTATATTCCTTGTTATTCAAGATAATACCCTTAATACTTGCATTTGCACGAATCATGATACCTAGGATCTCTGCTACAAATAAAAATAAATATGGCGAGACGGGGTCCCCCTGCCTACAGCCTCTGTTATTAGGAAAGAATTCGGATAGATGTCCATTTTGGATAATGCAGGAGGTAGCATTTTTCGTTAGTATAGATATCCATTTTAGCATGTATGGACCAAATCCGAACTTTTGTAAAACCTTGTTAACAAATGTTTTTGAGACTGTGTCAAATGCTTTTTCAAAATCAATTAATAATAAAAGGCCTTTCTTTTTTTGTTTTCTAGTTTCAAACATGATATCATATAACAGTCTTATATTTTCACTGATACATCTACCAGGAATGAAGACTGTTTGATTTTCATGTATCAGATGGTCAAGTGTAACTTTCAGTCTATTAGTGATACATGTACTTATAATCTTATAAATGGCGTTTAACAAAGATATAGGGCGCCAGTTCTTCAAATATTTTCTATCCTTTCCTTGTTTAGGTATGCAAGTTATGACACCCCTATTCATGGTCAAAGTCAAGTGATCATTTTGAAATGATTGATTTATGTATCGAAGGATCCACTTTCCCAAATCCAGCCAGAAGAATTTAAAGAACTCGACTGAATAGCCGTCAATGCCAGGACTCTTATTATTTTTCATTGATTTAACTGCTTTAAGAATTTCACTGGTATTAATAGGATTTTCCAGTTCAATTTGTAAAGGTTTTGGAAGGACAGGGGTGTTCATGTCTGATAACATCTGTGCACCTTCATGGTCCTCGATACAATCTTGTTCAGAAAATATATCCTGATAAAAGGCCTTTTGTTTATCTAATATACGTTTTCCATCAGTAATGACTTCCCCTGTATCAGACATAAGACTAGTAATAGACTTACTAACAAAGTTTCTGTTTTCTAGATTACAAAAATATTTAGATGGTTTTTCTCCTTCCTCATACCATTGAATCCTATTTCTAATTTGCACTCCTTTAATTTCCTGTTCTTTAATTTTTTCAAATTCTAACTTATGCTTTGACAAGTCGGCAAGGAGGGTTTCATCAATGTTTTGCAAATTGCCACGTATCGTATCTTCTAGATCTTTTATTTTAGATTCTAGTTCCAAAGTTTTATCCTTTCTTTCTTTTTTCACGAAAGAACTGTACGAGATAGATTTACCTCTAATATTCATTAACAAAGTTTCCAGACATAGGCAATCATTTATGTTCAACTTTAAATCAATATCATCAATCCCGCTGATTTCAGAATGAGTTGCATATTGTTTTTTGGTTTCCTCAATTTCGTTTTTGACCATTTTAACATAATCATGATCTCGTAGAAGAGATGTGTTAAATTTCCAACAGCCCCTCCCTCTTGACTTGTTGTCAGAGGAGAAAGTTAAAGTAATGGCGGAGTGATCCGATTTATATCCTGGTAAAATTGCAGTATCAACAGTTACATTTGATATATCTTGTGAGTCCAGAAA